ACTTGCAAAACTAAAAGATACTTATGAAAGCTATAAGAAACTTTCCTAAAATATTATTCTCATATATCAAGTAATAATACAGAGAGGTCTATTCAATAACTAAATTACTTCAACTACAGGTTATAGGTAGGGAAAGGGATATTACAGTTGCATAAAACTATATTTAATCACCCAACACCTACCAGACACACTAAGAGATCTTCAAGACCATCTCACTCAAGGTGTTCCATAGTGAGCATCTTACAAGGGCTCATGCAGAGGTAGAAGCTGCCAAAGTGCAAGTTGCCTTTGCAGAACAGAAGGCAGAAATGGAGGCAGAACTTGATAACATCCATTCGCAAGCTGCATGCCAAAAAGCAGAAATAGAGACAGAAACCAATAACATTCATGCACAAGCTGCCTGCAAGAAAGCAAAAATGGAAGCTCTGCAAAGGAAACTTGACCAAGCTACAGCATAAGTGAGGTTAAGAAGCTCCTTCAAGTCAACTAGACATTGTCAGTTTGTCAGAAGATCCCATGAAGCCCACTAAATGCTATGTCATAAACCAGAGTAGAAGATTCTTGGTAAACTCTGATACTCTTGATGATACTGGTATTCCTTCACAGCATCAGCCTTCTGAAACTACTGTGACTCATTATGAGTGTGATAGACCTGTTGTTCTCTCTACCTATTAAGCTGAACCCTCACACTATACTGTACCATCTAAGTTGCAGACTACCGAGAGAGAAGCTATCAACTTAGGGGTCATTACTCATTACTCATTACCTCATCAGGTTAGTGATTTACAGTGTATTAATTTAAATCTGCACTTAATGGGTATTCTGTGATGTATATTAGGGTTAATTAGAAGCTGCTGCACTATAGACAACTAGGTCCAAGAATGTTTAACTGAATATACAGTGCTAATGGTTCAATCAGTAACTAAAGGGATGACTAGATATAATTGTGTAGACACAAAGTGGATACATTAATTAAATCACTATAGTGAAATAAGTGCTAACCTCAATATTAAGTGCATGAAAGGCATACATTTGCAAATATATGAAACCAAACAATTATTATACATGTGAGTCAATAGGTATCACACATTGTACTAAATAAATACCGTAAGTATTTATTTAGTACAATGTGTAAGTAAGTATGTATTTAGTACAATGTGTGATACCTATTGACTCACATGTATAATAATTGTTTGGTTTCATATATTTGCACATGTATGCCTTTCATGCACTTAATATTGAGGTTAGCACTTATTTCACTATAGTGATTTAATTCATGTATCCACTTTGTATCTACACACTTATATCCCTTTAGTGATTTTACAGTACCTCTTGATAACAACATCACTCTTGAGTCACACCTTGCCATAGTAATGAAGCACAAACCTGTTCCTGTTTTTTTTTTTTTTGGTTGTATGGCAAAAAAGGGTTACAAAAACACGGAAGTTATGGTAGATTCTGTGCAGAATAAAGGTGAATAAGCAATGTCACCAGTAATGTAGGTTCTGGCTTGATTGTGAGGATTTACTAGGAAAATGCTGTTTCCATGAACATTTTAGGCAATTCAAGAGTCTAGCTCTTGTGTTGGTCACATGATTCTGCAATGCTTTTATCTGACAATTTATAGCATGTAACATAATCTGCTCTTATTGGGAGTAGAAGGGGTTTGGAAAGATGAGAGGAGTCTGGAAGGGTTTCAAAGCACCATGTAGAATCCAACACATCTCACTCACATTTAGTGCAAAAACAACATGTTGACCATATGTGCAAAGACCTTCAGGAATTATAAATAAGTTAGAGGTAAGCGATACAAAAAAACATGTAATATAGTAAAGTATTGTAGTGACGTATAACTTTTAAAGATGATTAAGCCTTCGAATGACAGCAACAGTCAATTTGTGTATGACCCCATGATATACAATGAGTGGCCAGATTAATATGACCACCCCATCAGTACTTCGTTGGGCCACGAGATGACTCCACGAGATGACTTTGTTGGGCCGCCTCGTGACTCCACGAGATGTTGAAAGGTGATGCGAGGAATCTGACACTGCACTGTTGCCCTTCTGTTGTCTTGTACCAGTCTTGCCACTCTCCGTTCTGCCCTAACATTGACTAGTCGCTGACGGCCACAATTTGCACGTTCAGACCCAGATTTTCGGCTGACAGTCCAGTCTTTAAACACTTTAACAACAGCTGCTCTTGAACATTTAACGAATTCTGCTGTTTTGCTGATACTCGCTCCATGGCTCCGAGCGCCAACAATCATCCCACGTTCAAAGGCTGTTAAATCGCGTTGTTTACCCATATCTTCAGAAAAAAATCACTTCTACTGTCGTGGTAAACAACCTGCTTCCCTATTTATAATGGTCTGGCCCTCTAGCAACTTCAGCGTGAAATTATAGCTAATAATAGCTAATTTGCCTACAAACGTCAGGTGGTCATAATAATCTGGCCACTCAGTGTAGATTAACATTGTCTATGTGCCTCAATGACAATTGTCACCCAGACCAAAAGTGAGAGGAAATCTAAAATTTTGCAGCAGTCATCATCACAGTAGTACAGGGAAATCATCTGTCCTGGTGGCATTTGTTACAAGTGTGTTTTTTCCCTCACTGACAGCAATAAAAGGCTAAAAAAAGTTTTAGAAAATTAAACCTGGCCATACACTGCTCTATTTTTTTCGTTGAACCTGAGGACTAAACGACAAAAAGAAGAGCAGATTCCTTTATTAACAAGCTTGTTGATCGAGGAATCCCTGCTGTTTCTTTTGGCAGCCACTGTCAGAATACCCAAACAGAGCCAGCAGCTCAATGGCTGCTGGCTCTGTTCGTATGACGATTTTGCAACTAGCTCCTTCATCAGCTGATCACAGGATGCCGGCCGAAAGGGTGACAACAGTATGACCACCTTTAATTAAATGATTACTTTCATGTTCCTTGAGATATGCTCTCTCTTTCTCTAGCATGATCAAGCTATGGGAGGTCAAAAACAGAAAAAGCAGGGATAACAATCCGGTATTGATAGCATCCCTTACACTTGTGATATAAACCAGTGTAGAAATCCAATGTGCTATACTGTATCACTTAATCAGTTAGCTTTGAGCCTGCCATTTCCAATTGATATATAGATATCTTGCTGCACTCCTTACCGGATAAAAGTAGTAACCTGATAAAACAGGTGGGTGCTTGCAGCGACCACGGATGGCACTGTCAAATAACTGAAATCATCTCCTGACCTTTGGACTCTACAGGCACATAAACTAGACATTCCTTTTCTTGCTTTAGTTTTATAGACATTGAACATCTGAAATGGATTGCCCAGACTGGTCTTCCATAAATGTTTAATTATCAAAATCGTATCTGGTTATGTAAAACAGATTCTTATCCCAGTAATTTCACCATAGTTGCAAACTATAGGAATCTGGAAAGGTTATACATATGTGGGGTTCTTACCAATACTTACTAATAATACTTACTTATACTTAAATGTGTGGTTCTTACTAATACTTACAAATTTTCCAAAATGCAATATACAAATCGATAACGGAAAAAAGTTAACAGCATGTCATGATTTCCAAATTTCTAGGCAAGAAACAGAAACCCAATATTCTGCAAAACATATAAGGACTAAACTAAAAGTAAATGAAATGATTTTCAAAGATTGCTAGGTAGAAATAATAGCTTAGTAACTTTATGTATAATTTGCTGTAGCAGCATGCTTAATACTTCCCCGTCACATCCATAGTGGGTGTGGCATTAAACGTTCCTTGAGATGCGGAGGTTAAAATAAGGACAGTACATTCTCATCCACCCTTTCTTTTTTTAATTTCCTATAACAGCAGTTCCCTTTCAATTTATTGCCGACTGCTTGCCTAAATCAGATGCTATGAAGCCTTCTATGTCCCACATATGGTCTGCAGATTCTGGATTTAGACAACACTGACTGATTGTTAAGAGGCACTGTGTAAATATCACACCACATTGTATATGTAAACTTAGTTACATTGCATGCAGCATAGCTGTGCTAATCACATTTTTAACTTCTAGTTTTGAAACAGATTTACCAAGTGCTAGAATTTTGTTCTTTAAGAGATAATGTACCCAATTTAAATTAATTTTAAATTGAGTGATGCAGTAATTAATTGTCTATTTTTGATACATTTTTTTGAATTTCATATCAGTATATGCTCTTGTAGATTACTTATGGGGAAAAAAACAATATTCTCTCTTTAACTGACACCCACATTTATTGTGAGTAATTCCCCTCTATCATGAATATAAAACACATATGGGGTAGTTTAAATACTTTGGATTTGGATTGAAAACCTTTGTTTAAATTACAACAGGCGTATATCCTCTAGATAACTTTTCTTTATTACATTTATCGACCCAAGTGACAATGAAATAATAAGAGGAATATTTACAATGCCTAATTTTCTCCAGTAATTCTTCCAATTACTGCACTTTGGGTGCAACTAACTTAGGTGACTTAGGTCTGAGCACAGCTGGCCAATACGTGACCAGTTCTCCAGCATTTGTTCATGTGTGATTCACGATAGGAATAGTTAGTAGAAAGATGCAAGTATTTCACAGTTATCTCTCAGAGGGTGAGGAATGCGATAAAGAAGACTTCTCTGGAATGTGTTAATAAGGCAAATATTTTTCCCTTCATTTATGTGCACGTCCAAAGAGAACAAAAATTCAAGAACCAGATAAAATCACTTTAGTAAGACAGTTCTTTGCATTGTGAAAGTCCTATAACGGAATTTAGTTTACAATGCAAACTGGACATTATTGTGCCAATTTAAAACATACAGCAAAGCAAAATGGACAGTTACAAATGACAGTCACATATCAATTTATCAGCAAATTCAGGAAAGCGTTTTTGGCTGCTTGCTATTGGCTACAACATACTCTATATTCTGTTATATTTCTTTATGTCTGGGAAACCTGGCCTATACAGCAATGAAAAATAAAAAATAAAGTAAAAATATATACCTCTCCTTGATCAATATTAGTGTTTTCATCATAGTCGTAAAGATTATAGAGTAGGTCAACTTCATAGGCAGCTGTGTCATAGTTGACACTATCCGTTGGAGGAGCAGATACAACTGCTTTTATTATAAAAAGTCCCAGGACAATATTTGCAAGTGTCTTCATTCTTCAATGCTTTAAATGGAAACAGCAATATATGAAAAGGTTAAAACATTTGTGCCATAGCTTTAAGGGGTGATGTTTAAGGTGTTTGTGTAAAATAGACCTATGTCCCAATATATTTACAGTTTGTGATGCTATGTCCAGACAGAACTTCAGGACTTAAGAAGAAGCATTAAGAAATCACACAGTAGCATTAATTCCGTGACTTTCCTCTGTATAAATACACTCTAAATGGGAGTTCTCATAGAGTTTGGATGTTTGCCACTGAGCATACAAGCCAACATGCCACAGACTGGGCATCCAACATGTAATGGAACATGATGCCCCCTTTGCATAATGTTTTCTTTTATGTATTTATTTAGTACATAATCAGACATAAATAATAAGGCAATGCAAAATACAATGATTATGTGCAGTAATTTATAGTAGGTAATCAGAAACCATCTTTTTAACTGATCTAACTACACATTCTACTTAAAGGGCCTCAGTATGCTCATATATTGAACCACTGTAACACATGAATTAATGAGCACACAATGTGCACATCATTTTTATTCCCTATGTTTTATCCATATTATAACATTCCTTTATTAATATTAGTATTTATCTGTGGCTTAATACACATTTGTATTTCAATCAGAAGATAGCACTTTGATTGTTTTGATAAGGAAATGCAAAATGTCAAGGGGTAGCACCCCTAGTGGCCACATCACAAGCAAAAATGTTGTCATACTTGTCACCTAATGACTGTGCTGATTTTGGGTGTATAAATGGTGATTTTGTTTTTGAACAAAGAGCTATTCTAAATATATCTACTTTTCAAAAATGTTATCATGTACGTTACCTATACCTGTATAATTTTCTTTAATTAGCATTTGAAATTCAAACTTTAATTCCAAGAATTTGTCACTAGAATTAGCTTAGCCCTATGTAAATAAGCATGTGACGTGTGATATGCCTGAGAATGACAGTACTCTTGAAGACCCTAGCTGTTGCATAGTGCAATACACTTGTCCTATTCATCCCTTGCTCCCAGTAAAATTCAGTCCAGAAACATTACCAATTCATGTGCAAGAATGCACTGACACACAAACTAAATTTCAGTGGTTTAAAAGAAAGAAAGTCTTTATGAACCAGCTTTAGGCATGAGGATATGAAATTCCTCTGGGAACTGAGAACAGTACAAAGCCCTCATTTATTTCAGATTCTCAAAGATACTTTATGCTGTGCACCCATCAAGACTGCTCTGCTTCAAATACCTATTTCCACTTTTCCACTGCAAAATGTATCTTAGATTGGAATAACATTTCGCAGATTCAATATTTTAATTTGTTTCAGCTACACACACACATATATATATATATATATATATATATATATACTAAAATTAATTATTTACCTTTCAAAATAATAATGATGTTAATAATAATAGTTGGATAAAGGTTGTGGTATATGCACAGTTATTTGACTATCATTACATAAAATGTCAAATATTTACATTCATAGTTTTTGTGTAAACAAAAATAAAATAAATATCTCTAAATATTGAATTTTGTTTTTTTTAGTTAATTAAATTTTAAAGGTAATAAATATCAGAGGCTATAAGGTATTAAGTACGTTACACACTGTACAATAAAACATTGAAGAAGTACACATGTGCAAGGTAAAATAATTGCAAAAAGGGAGACATCAAGAGAGAAACTTACCTTGGCTCCTGTCTTCTGAAATGGCAGCAGGTTAGTTTGAGCACACTGCAAGTGGTATGTGACCTGACCAATTAAAAGCCATATCTCAGTCAGAGGGAGGGTGGTACCTTTACTTGTTAGTATCAAGTTGGAATTCACTCCACAGTAAATTACTTTAGACTTGTGCTTGCTAGAATTAGTAATATTAGTGGTTCTGTGTTTATATTGAAACATGATGTCCACTATGCATTGATATTGGTTTTCAAGTGCCAGATGTCTCAGCTTGAAGTTTACTTTGACATGTGAATGTGTCCATTGTGACTGTTGGACCTGGGAAGTTTGTATATATGTAATTATGCTACAACTGCAGTTTACACTGACTTTTAGAGAACAGTGAGAGCAGCAAGCAACAGGACATTCACATCGTTTTTAAAGTCTTAAAAATGACTTTATTTATCTTTGTTTGTTTTTTCTGCTATACTGATACACTGATCTGGAAAGACGGTAAACATTAAGTAAGAAAGAGATGTTTAAATATTTAATTTGGATTTTCGTAAAAAAACAAAAAAACTTTTTTAAGTTGTTGTAGACCACTAAGATTTAGTTTCCTAATTATTGTGCAGTTATTTTGCCATCCTTTCCCTCCCGCCTTTTTACTACATCTGTTATGTTCAGTAATTAAAAAGGAGAGAATCAAGCATTTGAAAAAAGTAAATAAAGAAAAAAAAGACCTTGGACTAAATTTTTACTGAAATAACTGAGAAAGAAAAGAAAACAAAAAACACGGAGAGAGAGAGGCCCTTATTATAAGGTAAATAAATCAAATAAAAAATGAAGACAATAGAAAAGACACCAGGAAATATGTTAGTTGAAGGTTTTAGAAAAGCCCCCAAAAATCTTAATTATGTAAAGGTATTTTGTTCTTTACTCACTGAGTAAGATGCATTACGTAGTCCTAGTGGCATATATTGTGCCCCACTATTTTATGGATGACGATATAAGCCACGCATTTTAGACACATTTAACTATCTTAGTTGGTAAAGGACAAACACTTTTGGCACCGAAACATTTCCGCTTATAGCTCATTGATGCTCCAATGTAGCAATTATCTTACCGAAAAACCTAAAACTATTTGAAACCCTGAACCCCTTGCTGAACATCTACACCCTCTGCCTATCCTCCAAACTCAGCCACCCTTTACACTACCTCTAACACTTAAGGATAAGTGCGTTTCCATAGAGTGGATTAATCCTTCCTGCCAATCCCCCCTTTTCTTAATCAGAGTCATGGTTTGCCACATTGTTGACTGCCTGCAGCCGAGATCTTTTTCCTGTACTTGGGTAGTCAATTCTTATAGACTGCAATGAGCCAACCTATGAGGATGGAGACCCTCAGCAGATAGTCATGCGGAAGTCAAGCTGACTGTAAAAGCATGGCAAACGCAAGTCGCTTGGATATCATGTTCACTACTTTAACTCCCTTACCAATAACAAAGAGTTCTAACTTTATGGTTGCCTTCTTTATTTGTATATGTTATGAGTGTTAGCATAACATCCAGGGAACTAGCATTTTATTTAAGGAGCTTAGCATTTACAACGTCCATGTTTTTCTCAGGAAAGGTTTATTTTATTGTAAGTATACATATAGCATGGAGGAGGGTGACGTAATGTAGGTCAGAGCACTTTTGCTACCAAATATTAAACCAAAATCTTACAGCTTACCTAACTCTATCCTTTAATTCTTAATTCATCAGTTAGCCCCCTCCCAACACTAAACACGTAACCTATCAAGCTTTCAGCATTGTTAAAGACTGATATTTCTAAAAAAATTAGTCTCTGGGCCTTGTCACCCAAACCTGTCTAAGCAAAGATGGAAGCATCCACAGGTTAGGATTGAAGTCTACAAAAATATGGAAACTAGAACTGATCTTACTGTTATCATCTGAAGACCCAAATGGCTGTATTGCTTGATAGTACTGAATGGAACTATGACTGGTAACTGCGTGCTTTTTTGTGCCTTCCAAAGAACCTTGTCTCTTATGTTAACAGTGACAGCAATGTGTATGTGTGTTAAAGCATATATAAACCTAAAAACAAAAATGTAATATATTTCAGCTTACAGTACAAGTCTTTATATGTGGTGGCTCAATTACTTTTTATTACTTTGCTTTTTTTCAGGCTAAGAACATTATCAGCAAGTACAGAAACACATGTTGATCTTACCAGAAAAGCAATGTACTTGTCACTTCCTGTGAGCTGAAAAGAAAGCACAAACAAGCTTTTCTTTCTTTTGTGAACTACTAGTCATATCAATTTACAATGTAATGGAGATGAACAAAAGCAAATATGTTTGAAGTACAGCTTTTGACGAGCATGGCTCCCTTCTCAATATAATGGATAAATGGGTGTAGGGACAAAAGTCTGTTATTTGCAAGATCATAATGTTAAAATAAAAGAAAAAAGCATAAAAACGAATGCAGCCACCACATCTAAGGGCGGGTAAGCTGCAATGTATTACATTTCTGGTTTTAAGTTTAAATACGCTTTACTGTATTAACTGCATGTTTATTTATTGTTTTTCTTTAATTCACCTCATCCCTACATAATACCAATAAAGCTACATTCTTTCCACACCTTCCCCGTTTACTGAAAAGTAGGGGGATGCACTTATCTGCCTATCTGTCCTAACATAAAAACCTAGGGAATGTGTGTGTGTGTGTGAACAATGCAGTGAAATAGCTGCTACCCACCAAGTCGGATAGAGGGCACTGACTACACAGAGGCCTCCTACCCTGTCAGTACAGCTACATGTATATGGCATGTCTGGAAAGAAGCCAATGGTGGTAGATCCTGTTCCAAAATCTATCTTGTCAGTGTTTATCAATCAGGCCTAAAGAAGAAAACCATTAAGCTTTATGCAATTCCAGGTGAAAACAGTAACAAGTCTTTAGACCACTTTAAGCATCTTTAAGATGTTAGGGCTTACGAACCCCAACATTTCCTATTGCCTAAAAACATATGCAAGGATTGTGGAGACAATGGGAAAGAGAGCATTCGGATACCAAACTGAGTTCATGTCTGACCTTACCAAACATAACTGAATTCAACCAGATCTTTGATAACAGATCTGAAATCCCTACAACAGATACAGCTATTTATCACAAAAAACTTGAAACATAAAACACATCTAATACTAGAACTTTTTTCAGGGTCTGGTAATCCTGATTTTTTTGAGTTCCCAAAGTTAGAGGTCAGGATAATGGTTCCTTTGATTCTCCCTATGCTAAAAAGCTAGATTTAGGATGGATCAGTGTAGGAG